TACAAAGGACCAAAACTCCTCACCAGCTAGGGAACAAAGCTGGACAGAGAATGAGTGTGATGAAATGATGGAATCAGACTTCAGAAGGTGGGTAATGAGAAACTTCCATGAGTTACAAGAACATGTTCTAAATCAATGCAAAGAAACTAAGAACCTTGAAAAAAGATTTGAGGGAATGATAACAAGAATGGACAACTTAGAGAGGAATATGAGTGAACTGAAGGAGCTGAAAAACACAACACGAGAACTTCACGAAGCATGCACAAGTTTCAACAGCCGAATTGACCAAGCAGAAGAAAGGATATCAGAAGTCGAAGATCAACTCAATGAAATAAAATGAGAGGGCAAGATTAGAGAAAAAAGTGCAAAAAGGAATGAACAAAGTCTCCAAGAAATGTGGGACTATGTGAAGAGACCTAATCTACGTTTGATAGGTGTACCTGAATGTGATGAAGAGAATGAATCCAAGCTGAAAAATACTCTTTAGGATATTATCCAGGAAAATTTCCCCAACCTAGCAAAACAGGACAATACTCAACTCCAGGTAATACAGAGAACACCACAAAGATATTCCGCAAGAAGAGAAACCCCAAGGCACATAATTGTCAGATTCACCAGGGTTGAAATGAAAGAGAAAATGCTAAGGGCAGCCAGAGAGAAAGGTTGGGTCACCCACAAAGGGAAGCCCATCAGACTCACAGCAGATCTCTCAGCAGAAGCCCTACAAGCCAGAAGAGAGTGGGGGCCAATATTCAACATCCTTAAAGAAAAGAACTTTCAACCCAGAATTTCATATCCAGCCAAACTGAGCTTCATAAGTGAAGGAAAAATAAAATCTTTTGTGAACAAGCAAGTACTCAGAGATTTTGTCAGCACCAGGCCTGCTTTACAAGAGCTCCTGAAAGAGGCACTACACATAGAAAGGAACAACCAGTACCGGCCATTCCAAAAACATACCAAATGCTAAAGAGCATCAACAAAATGAAGAATCTGCATCAACTAACGGGCAAAACAGCCAGCTAGCATCAAAATGGCAGTATCAAATTCACACATAATGATATTAACCCTAAATGTAAATGGGCTAAATGCACCAATCAAAAGACACAGACTGGCAAATTGGATAAAAATCCAAAACCCATTGGTGTGCTGTATCCAGGAAACCCATCTCACATGCAAGGATACACAAAGGCTCAAAATAAAGGGATGGAGGAAGATTTACCATGCAAATGGAGAGCAAAAAACAAAAAAACAAGGAGTTGCAAATCTTGTCTCTGATAAAATAGACTTTAAAGCAACAAAGATCAAAAGAGACAAAGAAGGACATTACATCACGGTAAAAGGATTGATACAACAAGAAGAGCTAAGGATCCTAAATATATATGGACCCAATGCAGGAGCACCCAGATATATAAGGCAAGTTCTTAATGACTTACAAAGAGACTTAGACTCCCACACAATAATAGTGGGAGACTTTAACACTCCACTGTCAATATTAGACAGATCAACCAGACAGAAAATTAACAAGGATATCCAGGGCTTGAACTCAGACCTGGAACAAGCAAACCTGATAGACAGAACTCTCCACCCCAAATCCACAGAACATACATTCTTCACAGCACCACATCATACCTACTCTAAAATTGACCACATAATTGGAAGTAAAGCACTTCTTAGCAAATGTAAAACAACTGAAATCATAACAAACAGCCTCTCAGACCATAGTGCAATCAAGTTAGAACTCAGAATTCAGAAACTAACTGAGAACTGCACAGCTTCATGGAAACTGAACAACTGGCTCTTGAATGTTGACTGGAAAAAAAATGAAATGAAGGCAGAAATAAAGAAGTTCTTCGAAACCAACGAGAATGAAGACACAACATACAAGAATCTCTGGGACACATTTAAAGCAGTCTCTAGAGGAAAACATATAGCAATAAGTACCCACATGAGAAGAGTGGAGAGATCCACATTTGACACCCTATAATCAAAATTGAAAGAGCTGGAGGAGCAAGATCAAAAATACTCAAAACCTAGCAGAAGACAAGAAATAACTAAGATCAGAGCAGAACTAAAGGAGATAGAGACATGAAAAAAGCTTCAAAAAATCAATAAATCCAAGAGCTGGTTTTTTGAAAAGATCAACAAAATAGACAGACCACTAGCCAGACTGATAAAAAGAAAAGAGAGAATAACCAAATAGATACAATAAAAAACGATAAAGGGGACATTACCACAGATTCCACAGAAATTCAAACCATCATCAGAGAATATTACAAACAACTCTATGCACATAAACTAGTAAACCTGGAAGAAATGGATAAATTCCTGGACACTTGTGTCCTCTCAAGCCTGAACCAGGAGGAAGTCAAAACTATGAATAGACCAATAACGAGGTCAGAAGTTGAGACAGCAATTAAGAGCCTACCACACAAAAAAGCCCAGGTTCAGATGGGTTCACAGCCGAATTCTACCAGACACACAAAGAGGAGCTGGTACTATTCCTTCTGAAATTATTCCAAATAATCCAAAAAGAGGGAATCCTTCTCAAATCATTTTATGAGACCAACATCATCCTGATACCAAAACCCGGCAGAGACTCAACAAGAAAAGAAAACTTCAGGCCAATATCGATGATGAACATAGATGCAAAAATCTTCAAAAAAAAAAAAATACTGGCAAGCAGATTGCAACAGCACATCAACAAACTTATCCATCATGATCAAGTAGGATTCATCCCGGGGATGCAAGGCTGGTTCAACATATGCAAGTCTATAAATGTAATTCACCACATAAACAGAACCAAAACCAAAAACCACATAATTGTCTCAATTGACGCAGAGAAGGCCTTTGAAAAAATTCAACAACCCTTTATGATAAAAACCCTCAATAAACTCAGTATTGATGGAACGTATCTCAAAGTAATAAAAGCTATTTATGACAAACCAACAGCCAATATCATACTGAATGGGCAAAAACTGGAAGCATTCCCTTTGAAATCTGGCACTAGATCAGGATGCCCTCTCTCACCACTCCTATTCAATATAGTACTGAAAGTTCTAGCCAGAGCAATCAGGCAAGAAAAAGAAATAAAGGGTATTCAAATAGGAAAGGTGGAAGCCAAACTGTCTCTATTTGCAGACGACATGATAGTATATCTAGAAGACCCCATCGTCTCAGCCCAAAAACTCCTGAAACTGATAAGCAACTTCAGCAAAGTCTCAGGATATAAAATCAATGTGCAAAAATCACAAGCATTCTTGTACACCAATAACAGACTCAAAGAGAGCCAAATCAAGAATGAACTGCCATTCACAATTGCTACAAAGAGAATAAAATACCTAGGAATACAACTTACAAGGAACGTAAGGGACCTCTTTGAGGAGAACTACAAACCACTGCTCAACGAAATAAGAGAATGGGAAAAAATTTTTGCAGTTTACCAATCTGACAAAGGACTGATATCCAGAATTTACAAAGAACTCAAACAGATTTACAAGAAAAAAACAAACAAGCCCATTCAAAAGTGGGCAAAGGATATGAACAGACACTTTACAAAAGAAGACATACATGAGGCCAACAAAGATATGAAAAAATGCTCATCATCATTGGTCATTAGAGAGATGCAAATCAAAACCACATTGAGATACCATCTCATGCCAGTTAGAATGGCGATCATTAAAAAATCTGGAGACAACAGATGCTGGAGAGGATGTGGAGAAATAGGAACACTTTTACACTGCTGGTGGGAGTGTAAGTTAGTTCAACCATTGTGGAAGACAGTGTGGCGATTCCTCAAGGACCCAGAAATAGAAATTCCATTTGACCCAGCAATCCCATTACTGGGTATATATCCAAAGGACTATAAATCGGTCTACTATAAGGACATATGCACACAAATGTTCATTGCAGCACTGTTTACAATAGCAAAGACCTGGAACCAACCCAAATGCCCATCGATGATAGACTGGACTGGGAAAATGTGGCACATATACACCATGGAATATTATGCAGCCATCAAAAATGATGAGTTCGTGTCCTTTGTAGGGACATGTATGAATCTGGAGAACATCATTCTCAGCAAACTGACTCACAAGAACAGAAAATGGAATACCACATATTCTCACTCATAGGCGGGTGATGAACAATGAGAACACATGGACACAGGGAAGGGAGCACTACACACTGGGGTCTATTGGGGGGAATAGGGGAGGGACAGTAGGTGGGGGGGAGCTGGGGAGGGATAGCCTGGGGAGAAATGCCAAATGTGGGTGAAGGGGAGGAAGGCAGCAAAACACACTGCCACGTGTGTACCTATGCAACTATTTTGCATGTTCTGCACATGTACCCCAAAACCTAAAATGCAATTTAAAAAAATAAACAACATCAAGAGATCAAGACCATCCTGGTCAACATGGTGAAACCCCGTCTCTACCAAAAATACAAAAAAATTAGCTGGGCATGGTGGCGCGTGCCTGTAATCCCAGCTACTCGGGAGGCTGAGGCAGGAGAATTGCCTGAACCCAGGAGGCGGAGGTTGTGGTGAGCCGAGATCGCGCCATTGCACTCCAGCCTGGGTAACAAGAGCGAAACTCCGTCTCAAAAAAATAAATAAATAAAAAATAAACAACAAAAAAAAAATAAAATAAAATCATTTACTTTATTCTGGTAAAATCTCTATTTAAAATGAGCATTTTCCCTACTATAACAAGGACAAAAATAAGGGTCAGAGAGAGAAAAGGTCTTGTTGACGGTCTCGTAGCTAAAAAGTAGCTGAGCCGTGATTAAAATTTAGGTCCCTGACACAAGTCAGTAGGAGTGTCATACAGTAACCTGGCTAGTTATCTCACGGTTTCAGATTTCATTAATATCCCTAATTCCTCACCCCTCCCTGTATCCACACTCTTTGCCATAGTATTATTTCAGTTTTTTCCCTTCAAAACAAAAAGAAAAAGAAGACGATTTCCCCATCCATTGACTTGGAATTCAGCCATGTGGCTTACCTTGGTCAGTGGAATGCTGACAGGTGTGACATGACCAGTGGCTGGGATATGTTTGGGTAGTTGGGTTTTGTACCATTGCCATGAGAAGAGCAGACCTGGGTTAGAGTCTTGGTCTCTGGAGGAGAATGAGAGGTCCACGGAGCCTGAGCTGGGCTGCCCCAGGGGAGCCTGGCTGAGAATGGGCCAAGATCAGTCACCCTCCAACTGACCTCTGAGCTAAATAAAGGCTGATTATTGTATGCTGCTGAGATTCTGGGTTTGTTGGCTAGGTAGCATTATTGTGGGTAATATATGTCTTCTCATCCTGTTTTTAGGGTTCAGTGGCAGCTACGGCATGGAGCAGTTCACCTCAGTGTGAGGTTGAGTAGCCCAAGGACTTGCCTGGTGGCCAAGACACAAGATACATGTGGCATGCATTCTTAAGCATCCGTTTCACTGATAAGTCATTTAAAGCACTATTTCTATGTTACCAACATACTTGGTATAGTATACAGCAAGGTGGAAGATATGCATGAATGAATATAAAATAGTAGATTGATATCACATTTTTCTCACTAGAGAAATCCATGGTGAACTTTTCTCTCAGAATCCTCAGGACAACCTCGTTCCTTAACAGGAATGCTTTCATGGAAAAATGAAACACTGGTCTAGTGGAAACTTGGACCATGAAGCGCTGAGAGAAAGTTCTAGTGTTTTTCAACTGTATGATGCTAGGCAACTCACTAGCCTCCAGGAGCCCCTGCTTTCCCATATAAGAGCGGGGCCCAGGCTCCAACCTAGGAGTGTGAGGAAAATCTCACTCTCATGCCATATGAATATATATGATTATATAGCATGGGAGAATTTATATTGCAAGCGTAAGGTATGGGTGATGCTCATGACCTAATAAGTAAATAAAAATAACAAGTTTCCGTTGGCACAAACACACCCTTCCACCTTTCTCAGGCAATAACTCTGAGCAGAAACCCCAAGCAGTAAGTCTGTCTCCTAGAATTCAAGAGGGACTTCTGAAATCATGGTATGCTCATGCCAAGACCCTAACGAAGAGATTTAACACTGGTGCTACTATTATTTATCATCCAAGAGTGTTTATAGAGGCCAGTGGGGTTTGGGGCACTGTCCAGAACCTATAGGCAGACACGGTCTCTTCCTTGCAAATAAAAGAAGCCTTGAAATATTATATTTTTTATTTGCGCCATGGGCTTTCTAAAAAATAGCATGCCCTGTGCAATGTTTTCCTTTCCTTGCTTAAATGCTTTCATCCTAAGCAGAAGAAAACAGTAGATGGAAGAAATTGCAGGCAGTGGGATCCAAAGGGGAATTTTCAGAGGTCTCTCAGTCCTGTAGTGTCTCTAAGCTCTTGAGTTCAGAAGTTAGAGAATGCAGCTGACCAAATGAGAAAGCAAGCCATGGGTTGCCTTCAGCTCCCACCTGCCTCCCTGCCTCCCGGGGGCTGCTCACCCCTCTCTTGGTTGTCCCACAGAATCCTCCCTCAAATGGACCCCTCTTGACAGTCCTTAAGCCCCACCCAGGTCCAGCCCCTATGGCCCTAGGCTTTGACTGTTTGCATTAGTCTCATTGTCAGTTCCTCTAAGGCAGCCTCCCCTGCAATGGAGTCCTCTTTCTGAACCAAGACCTAATTGCATTGCCAGTGAGTCCTCAGTTCGGAACATCCTTAGTTCAGAAGACCAAGATGGCTCCAATCTGGCTCCAGCTTTCCTATTCAGCCTCATAAGCACCCCTCCCTCCCCGGCACAAGACCGGTCAGCCATGGCAATTTGACCACAATTTCCCATCCTGCTATACTTTCTCCTGTCTCCAGTTAGGCCTATCTTACCCACTTCCCTGCCTGGAAGACTTCCTTTTGACCTACCGATCCTAAGTCAAATACGATCACCTTGGGGAAAGTTTTCATTCATCAGCAAAAGTTTATCAGGGCCCCGGGCCCCATGCTTGGTTTAAAGTTTGGCTATCATGGTCTCGAAATTCTTAAGGGTGTTGTCTTTGAACTTGTGTTTTTGGAGTGAAGTCTGATGGGACACTAGAGCCTGAACAAGAGCAGAGGGGATACCCACAGCATGTGTCCAGTGTACCCGCCATTCCTGCCACCCCATTTCCGTGAAGCACTCCGCAGGCCTGGAATTCTGACGAATCCAAGGTGCTTGAGAGTTCAGCGTGACCCAGAGCAATGTACCGCAAGCATGAGGCCCCTCCATCTCAGCAACGGGGGCTCTGACTGCCCCTGGAGCCCATGCTTTTTGTTACCACCCAAATATGGGTCAAAATGTGGAAAAAGGACCATGATGTTCAAAGACACATAAATGACAAAGTGACCTTGTTTGATCCTTTTGTACTGATGCTGCTTCTCTGAATTAACCAGTCACCAGCACTGGAGATGATGGCATTGAAGGAAAGAGGGCAGGATACAACTCCCTTTTCGTGCATCCTTCCTTACTCGGCAGGAAGGCGCAGAGAGAGGGAGAGCACTGGTAGAACGTGCATGTGTCAGAAGCGCAACCAAAACCAGTGAGTTTGTTTTGTGTCTCATTTCCAGTGTTCAGGTAAGAATGAAATACATGTGCCTGGAGGAGCTACGAGACAGGGTAGGAACGTGCAATTCCTGATATCCTACATAAGAGTTCGATGCCCTCATGTTTGCACGGAAGACTGGCATCACACAATTTAAAGATAAGTGATCAAATTCATGCTAATCATTTTTAGTTTTATTTTAACTCGGATTGCAGGGTTTTTGTTTGTTTGTTTTGTTTTCTGAGATGGAGTCTCGCTCTGGTGCCCAAGCTGGAGTGCAGTGGCACCATCTCAGCTCACTGCAACCTCTACCACCTGGGTTCAAGTGATTCTCCTGCCTCAGCTTTCTGAGTAGCTGGGATTACAGGCATCCACCACCCACGTCCGGCTAATTTTTGTATTTTTAGTAGAGATGGGATTTCGCCATGTTGGTCAGGCTGGTCTTGAACTCCTGACCTCAGGTTATTTGCCCACCTCGACTTCCCAAAGTGCTGGGATTACAGGCATGAGCCACCATGCCCCGCTGTGATTGCAGTTTAATAGTAAATTTAAAGAAACACTATCCCAGGGCAAGAAGAAAACCACAAAAGAAAAGATGCTTCATATTTCAGTAACTTTTTTTTTTTATTTCAAAAATTTTTTTTGATACTTGTGGTTTTTGGCTACGTGGATATGTTCTTAAGTGGTAACTCTGAGATTTTAGAGCACCTGTCACCTGAGTAGTTACACTGTACCTAATATGTAGTTTTTTATCTCTCACCCTGCGCCCAACTTCCTCAGAGTCCCTGATCACTCTCACGCCTTTGTGTCCTCTTAGCTTAGTTGCTAATTGTCGGTGAGAATATATGATATTTGGCTTTTCATTCCTGAGTTACTTCACTTAGAATGGCTTGAGCTCTGTCCAAATTGCTTCAAAAGACATGATTATTTTGTTAATTTATTTGACTGAGTAGTATTCTATGGCGCATATATACCACATTTTCTTTATCCACTCATTGGTCAGTGAGCACCTAGGTTGGTTCCATGTATTTTCAATTGTGAATTGTGCTGCTATAAACATGCAAGTGCAAGAGTGTTTTTTGTATGACTTCTTTTCCTTTGGGTAGGTACCCAAAATGGGATTGCTGTTTTCCGTGGTGGTCGAACTTATTTACATTCCCACCAACAGTGTAAATGTTCCCTTTCACCATGCCTATGTCAACATCTTTTCTCCTTTTTGGAAAAGGGGACCCCGTTTTCATTTTGCACTTTAGCAGCCTTGCCTGGGGAGGCAAACACGACGAAGAAGGATGGTCTGCCCTCCAGGTCCTGAGCATGGTCAGAGGTGAAACGGACAGTTATTGCCACAGACTACCAGGCTCACAGCTCTGCGTTTGTCCCTCCTGCCAGCACGTGGCTTGCTGCACGGTCATTGTTCATTGGTCTTCTGCCGCCTAGACTGTGGGGCCCATGAGGTCCTGGCCCTGAGGAGTCCTTGAGGAGTGCCTGTGAATGAACAGATGACCTCTGACTTGAGATCTTCTCTTTGTTCACATAACTACCTGATTCCCATCCAGTGGGGTGCTTAGTTCTAGACATGCCTGTTTTGAATTAAATCCCTCTTGGCCATTCCTTTGAAGTCACATGTAATGCAATTGCTTTTGACTAAGGCAGCAAGGACATGAGGATTAACAAGAGGTGAGATGTGCCTGCCTCCTCAGGGATCCGACAGGAGCCGCCATACTTGATGTCTCCAGTGGATTTCCATTTCCAGAGATTCAAGGACTTGTCTGGTCCCCCAGTCCTGGGAACCTTGGTGGCGCAAGGGCCTCTCTGCTCCAACACTGCCACTGCCAGGTAACCACATCTGGCTACAATTTCTTATTTATATGTCTGCCTGTGCAGTTCATTTTGTTGAATGAATGAATGAATGAATGAATGAATACATTAATCAGTGCATCAAAGGATGAAAGAATCAATGAAAGAATAGCAAATCAGTGTAATGACTGCTGAATTTGCTCCCCCAGCAGCAGGTCCTAGAGGGTGTGCTCAGTCAGTACTGAGTGCATGAACCATGAGACCTCTGGCTCCTGTTGCAGTGAGCTAAGCGGGGACTGGCAGCTGGACCAATCATGTCAAGGTCCAGCTTCTCAGAGGCTGTAGGGCACATGGGGCAAGAGCACAGGCTTTAAAGCAAGATGGAGAAGGGGTAAAAATCTCAACAGTCCTGCTACTTTCTGATTTTGGACAAATCACTTGCTGCCTCTGAGACTCAGTTATTATTTCTGCAAAATGGAAAAATTTGTATCTATATCTTATGAGATTTAAAAAAAATCATTGTACATCATTTATATTTTTTAATTGGCAATTCCTGGCATGAATTATGATTCTTATTTCCATCTGTCCCTAGATACACATAGCGATCTTGAGGCAGCTGCTATGGGAGTAGCTTCCAAGGTCATAAGCGCTTTCATCTGCGTTATTTGGCCCATGAGATGTTTTCCATGTTCTGTACTTGGTTGTGTGATTAACGGATGGGAAGGAAGTAGAACAACTAGCAGACACTCAAAAAATACTTACTGAACTGAACGGCATCCAGGGCC